CAGAGGCAGGCAGATCTCTGTGAGTTCAAGGCCATCCTGGTCTACAGAGGGAGTTCCAGGACAGCCAGAAACTCTGTCTCCAAAAATAAACAAACAAAAACCAAAGCCAAACAAACAAACAAAAGAAGCATGGTGTATGCAAGGCCAGAAAGAGTTAAATATGACTGGGCTTTGTGGCTAAGATGATAGCTAGGGTCTTGGGTTGTAGCATAAACATGTTGGGAAGCTGTGGGTCTGTTGGACACCCAGGAGTGACAGCGCCTTATTTAGCATCACACACACACACACACACACACACACACACACACACACACAGCCTGGACCATCAGAGACAAACAAACAGCTAGGATGGAGACTCGATCAGTCTAGAAGTGAGGTCCTCACAGCTCTTAAGTTCTGAAAGGGCTTGGCTGCCTTGATCAGTGACACTGAAGAAGGGACAGGGACTACCCTTTTCTTACCAGGCACCTATACCCAAAGCAAGAGCAGTCAAGAGAACTGGCCCTATAGCACAGGCCTCTCCGCATTAGCAAATGAAAGTTTACAAGCAGGGCTAGGAAATCCTGCCAAATGTTCTGTTCCCATGCAGCAGATGGGTGTGGCTAACAGGGAGAGTCACCATCAAGGATGCGGCAGTCCCATCAGGAAGGTCTGGTAACCAGACGTTAACGTGTTTGTTACCAGTGTTTTGCCTCACCCCTGTATAGTTTGCCAGTAGGACTGCGTTCTTGAGTCACCTCATGTGCAGGATACGGCACAATTCCAGATTTAGACGGTACTCTATCCCTTGGAATGCCTTGTCTGGGCCAGAAGATCCACTCCTTCCTTCACCATAGATCTCTGGTTCTGTGGTGAAAGGGAAGTGTATGTGGATAAGGGGCCTGCCTGGTGGGGGGGTCACCTCCTCTGCCAGGAATCAGCACCTCATGCCTGAAGGAGCTGAAAGGGAGGGAGAAGAAGGGTATGTGGAGCTAATCTAGCCTTGCACCCCATTGTCACTCCCTGCAGCCTGCAGCAGGTTTTCAGCTGGGTAGCTGAGCCTATCAAATCAGAATTGAACTTAATTGCTTTGCCATTGCTAAAGCCACATTTAAGCATTGATCTTGGCTTCTGCAGTCCATAGGGGGCAGCCAACAATTGATCCAGTGGAGCGAGCAGGGTAAAGAAGGGCTTTCTCCATCCTCGCCATCCCTGCTCTGGAGGGGCCATCCTGTGGTGTCCTTCTATGGGCTCTAACTTCCCATTGGGATCAGGCAGGTGGCAGCTGTGGTTCTGAGTCGGGTTCAGAGAACAGTACAACATAGAGTTTAAAGCCTAGCTTCAATCACACTGCCTGACGGAGTCCTTGACTCCTCCTTCCTCTTCGAAGTCAGAAAAATGACAGTATCCTTTAAGAATTGCTTGAAAGGTACACAAATATTCTGCCCTGTGACTGGCATCAAGTAAAGACAGGTTGAGAGTATCCAACTAGAAAATCCAAACTCTGAGGATAGATGTAATGCAGCCAGTGGAACATCTCACACCAGGGAAAACTGGGTTTTATGCACAACACCATGAAAAATGTCATATAAAATTACCCTTAGGTAAAAAAAAAAATACCCTTAGGTGCTGACTTTAGCAGCACATGTACTGCAGTCAAATTACCCTTAGAGCGTATGTATGTATGTATGTTTCACATACATACACTCTGTGGTTAGACTGCAGTCCCTTTTCCAAGACAACTCATCATGTATATGCAGATTTTCCAAAACCCTAGATTCCAAACACTTGTGGTCCCTGTTTCTAAGCTTTTCATACAAAGGATACTCAACCTCCACTCCACATTTGCTAGTAATTTCTCTTTAAATGTTTTGTTTCCTTAGCTCAAGCATTAACTACCGAATTCCGGAAGAACAGCACAAAGGGCATTGAAAAATGCACAATGGCCACTGCGGCCCCAAGACTGCCACCGGCTTGTCATTATCTGTGAAATGGGGATAGTGGAGCCACAGACCACCATAGCAGGCACTGACTGGGGTGGTGGCTACATGGTTCCTAGCAGACTGAGGCAGAAACCAGACAGACAGCAGAGCTTACACAAGCTCTTGCAGGTGGCTGGGAGAAAGGGAGTCTTGGACAGAGGTCCTGACAGGCAGGTATGCAACTCTGGACCAGCCCCAAGGGGGGGACACACTAAATTCTACCCTGTAAGTCTTTGGAGATGTCTGTCCCTAGTTCCAGCGTCCTATGAAATGGAGGGGATGCTGGGGTACAGCTCTTCTGAAGAAATTTACCATAGGAAGCTTGTCTCATCCATCCATCCATCCATCCATTCATCCATCCATCCATCCATCCGGTGATTTCTTGAATAAGTAATATGTACCAGGCACTCAAGCAGATGTATTCAAGCGGTACAACAAAGACCCTGTCCAAGGATGTAGGGTCAGATGCCCAACACTCTGGAGACAAGAGGAGGGTCCCTACAGGCTTAAAGTCAGGGTGGGCTTCTAGAAACCAATGACATCAAGGGGTAGTAGGATCCAGTAATGGCTGGTGGTTTGGTATGCCTCCTGAGTGAACTGGTGTCTCCCAGAGGGGAACCAAGAAGCACAAACCCTGAAGTTCATTTGCCTGGAGTTAGGGTTTGAGGGCAGGCCTGGAGGAGTTACATTGTATACCAGGGCTCCAGACCTCAGGATGATTGGGCTTCATCATACAAGAAGGGGCTGGAGAAGGCTCTCCCAGAAGAGGCTGGATAGTGAGGCCGACAGAGGGAGAGAGACTCATATAGGTCCCTACCACTCATTGCCCTTTCTGGGAACTCAGAAGCCCTTGTTTAGAGGCCACTTTTTCCAGTGCCTGGAGCCACCCTGATAAGGACAATAGAGGCAGGGTGGGAGTCTAACTTCTCAGGGATTTATGGAAATCTGTATTTCAGATCACCAGAAGCTGGAGCGAGAGGCCCGCATCTGCCGCTTGTTGAAGCACCCCAATATCGGTGAGCCCTGAGAGTATGGGGGGTCCTGGCACAGCGTGGGGTGGTGGGGAGCAGCCACTTTCTTCTCTGGGGATGGAAGCTGCAGAGGGAGATGGGAAAGGGGGCGTCTTGTTCAGGACCAGCTTGCTTTGGGGGAAGGTGAAAAAAAGGACCCTTCTCCCCTCCCACGCTGCCAGCAGCCTCCTTCGGAAAAGCTGTTTCAGGAAAGCTCTTGAAGCCGAAAAAGAAAGATGAAAATAGGCCAGGGGGAAGCTTGGCCTTGACCAGCAAGGCCCACGCCCCGACCCACCACATGCAGTGTCAGCCTGGATCTGTGGCCCTGTCCTGTTTCTGAGTTCTGCTCCTGCCTGCCTCTTGCCTTTCCAGGAGCTTGGCCCCTGCCCCAGAGTCAGACTGAGAGCAAGCTTCTGGAGATGCTTGGTCTGTGGTGGCAGGACCACAGAAAGGTCCTGAAACACACTTCATTGCCTTACTGCCCTTTCCCCTCCCGTGCATCCAGGACCGTTAGGTCCTGTTCTCTCACGGAATATCTGTGTGACCTGGGTGGGAAAGCCACCCTCTCAGAGCCGCTTTCCAGTGCTTGCCTTTGTCTAGCCACCTGAGCACCTTGTGTCAGGGCAGCTTCCGCTTCCACGGGCCTGAGATGGGCTGTGGTGTCGAAGTTCTCATAGCTTCTCCAGAGGGGAAGCTAAGCTGCTGGTTCCCAGGGCTTGTTTTCCAGGTGATCTGCCTCTGAGTTCTCTGAGGAAGTTCCTGTTCCAACAGCTGTACCTTCTCCCACAGAGGGGAAGCAGGCTCCTGCACAGAGCAGGAGGGGTTAACTCTCCCCAGCGAGAGTGCTCCAACTACTATTTATACCAGAGGCCCCTCTCCTCCCCTCCCCTGCACAGCAGCCAGAGGCAGGCCAGTAGCAGACAAGAGGCCAAAGGCCACAGCTGGAGGAGGGCTCTAGCTGGACCCTGCTCTGTTCACCTGGCTCCCTGACCCCCCTCACTGCTGATGAATGGTTTCAGAGAGCTCTGACAGAACTCCCATGTCCTTATAGAGGCTGAAAGCTTGGGAGGAGGAAAGTGCCATACACATGCTGATGTGTGTGTGTGTGTGTGTGGTGTCTGTGTATGTTTGTGATATCTGTGTTTATGTTTGTGACTGTGTCTCTATCTGTGCATGTGTTTGTGTGTAGTGTCTATGTGTGTATATTTCTCTCTTTGTGTATATGCATCTCTGTGTGTTTGTCTCCATATGTATGTGTGTGTGTGTGTCTGTGGTGTGTATCTGTATGAGTGTGTGTCTAGTGTGGTATCTCTCTGTGTATGTACGGTATCTGTATGTGGTATCTGTGTTGTGTATGATATGCACACACACATGTATTATCTAGATGTCTCCGTGTGTGTGTGTGTGTGTGTGTGTGTGTGTGTGTGTGTGTGGTACCTCTGTGCAGGTGTGCTGTCTGTATGTGGTATCTGTGTATGTGCACACACATGTATCAAGATGGGTTTGCGCATTGCAGGTGATCTACCTGAACTCTATGCCCCTGTCTATGTCTCTCTCCCTCGCACTCCCATCTGTAATGGAGTACATGGGCTGTGGGTAACAATCTGCAGCTCAAACACCTTTTGTTATTGTGTGACCCACCTTAGACACATCGCCTCACCACTCTGAAATCCAGACTATCGTGGTGATTAATTGATGCGTAGTCCGTAAGGTTAGGATAACTTTTAATAGATAAATGCCAACCAACAGGAAGCCAGAGAATACCAAAGCAGCAAGGCCAGAGCGCTCCCATGTGCCTTGTCTGTCCCTTTAAACCTGTACCACATCACCCTGACATCACCTTGACCACACCTGTAGCCAGCCCTTAGGAGGCGTGGTTACAGTGTCTCCCTTTACCAGACTTCTGGAAATCTGGAATTATCCCTGCCTTGCTGGGTGTGGTAGTTCAACAGAGCATAGTGCCATGACAGAATGAATATGTCTTATACTGCTCAGCCACCCCACACCCCAGCCTGCCCATTTTTGCAGCACAATCTCTCCAGAAACAAATTGTACCTGTGACCCCACACAGCCACCATTGCTCTGCACCATGGACACTCTGACATGCTGAGGTGCAAGAGCCCAGAAATGAGTTACCACCTTCCCCACTGTCTCCATGGAGCTGTTTGCTCCTTGTTCACACAATGTTAAGTTAGCTGGAGGCTCTACAACATGTCCATACCTCTTCTAGGTGTTGAGGTTGTCGGGAGAAATGAGGGCAGGAACGGGCTGGAGTAAACATGGCGACTTGTGGGGAGCAGAGTTGAGCATGTAGCCAGAAGAATCTCAAAGCAGAAGCCACGACCCAGTGGGAGAGCTAGAAAGGCCTCAACCTTGTCCTGCAGGTCACCCCAAGCTGGCATGATCTTGCCAGAGAAACCCAACATATATAGATGCAGGAGCCCAGAGGACATCATGCCTGGAGAAACCTCATGAGATCTTAGCCTACTTGGCAAGTTCAGGCAAGGTGAATGGGCTGTTAGCTGCTTGTGTCCACTGCCCTGTCCAAGGGCATGAGAGTGGGGATCTCAGCACAGCCTGATCCAGCTGTGTCTGCAGACCTTTTACCCCTCCGTTCCTGCTTGGGTGAGGGTGGTGCCATCACCACTTGTGATAGACAGACCCCAGACGTCCATGCTCGTGCCAGAGTGTGGGAAACCTTGACGGGGCTATTCACAACCTCAGAGTTCAATGAATAGTTTGGGAAGAGAAGAGGAAGAGAAGTTGAAGATATTCATGAATTGTGCTCTACTTGCTGATAGCCCATTTGGCTATGACCCCTTCAGTGGAAGCATACATCAAATGAGTGAGATTAGTATCCCCATGATCCAATCACTCCTCATAGCACTGCTCACTGGAGAGCAAGTCTTTAACACATGAGCCTTCTTGGGAGACATTTCATACACAAAGCTATGACAGCTTATCAGCAGCTAAGAATGCTTTCATGAGCTGGCGAGATGGCTCAATGATTTAAGATCCCTTAACTGCTCTTGCAGAGGAACTGGCTTGGGTTCCCAACATCCTTATCGGGTGGCTCACAACCACCTGAAACTCCAGTTCCAGAGGACCTGAGGCCTTCTGGCCTCTGACCTCTGTTGGCTCCTGCACTTATGTGCAAGTACACAGGTGCTCTCTCTCTCTCTCTCTCTCTCTCTCTCTCTCTCACCCACCCCCCCATATACACACACAAGTAAAAGCAAAAACAAAACTCTAAAAGAGAATGTATACTTCACATTTGGCTTAACATTTCAGGCACAGGACACACTTGTAATCCCAGCATTTAGGAGGCAGGAGGATTGTGAATTTGAGGCTAGCCTGAACTACTCAAGGATACTGTCCCTAAAAACAGACTAACAACAAACAGCAACAGACCAAGGTCTGGGGATGCAGCTCAGTGGTAGAGCACTTTCTTTACTCTAATCCCAGCACTATAAAAGGGAAAAGGTCTTACCACTTTCATTTCTGTGTAAACAACCCCTACCCCTTCACCTTCTATCTTTGGTGGCCATCTCCTGTCCCCTGGGGCATACATTCAGGAATTGCCTCTCAGCCCACTAAGTTTATGTACAAGTTGAGGGCCATGAGCCACTCAAGGGCTCCATACTGAGTTGTGGCTCAAGGCCATTGGCACACACCAGTGATGCTAGCTATTTTTTCCAATGAGAAGGGAACCTACAACCCTGTTGCCCACTTCTCACCATATTCCCAGACAGACTTGCATTGGACTTAAGCTCAAACATCTTCTTAGAAAGAACTCCATGGCTTTACAGTTTGCCTTTTGGCATAATTTGGAGAAGATTCCAAACCAGCGGGTGAACTTCCGAATCATTCCAACAGCTGTGTGGCTTCTATTGTGCAGGAGGATCCTAATTGTGCCCCAGCCAACCCCCACCCACCACCGCCACCCCTCCCTTACACTGGCGGTCTATGACACAGAGAAGGATGGATACTCTAGCTTGTGAGATCTGGTCCTTGAACTTAGATTCCAGAGTCAGTCCTAGGCCACAGGCCCTTCTTTTAAAAGCTGGGCGATTTAGGGAGCTCTGGGCTCCTGAGAGCCTTGCCTCTGTTCCTAGTAAATGAGGTGTGAAGAGATGACAAATTTGCAGCCACCAGGGTTCAGGAACCAACCGCTGTCTCTCTCACTCCAGCCCCGGGAATACTATTGTCTCTCAGACTGCCAGCAGAATAGGGATGTCAATGCATGGCCAGAACTGATGGGGTACAGCTGTGCGCCTCACGGGGACTCTTGTAACAAGCTAGCAAAGTCTGAACAAGGAGAAAAGAGGTTCAGAAAGGCATAGCAACTCACCCACCCACCATTGCACAACCAGTTGTGACAGAGCCTGGCACCACAGGCTCTTGTACCACTCTGGTTTACCCAGAAACCAAATTGAGGGTTGGAACAGGGAGAGGGACCAAGCTGACACACAGAGGTCTTCAATCTTTACACCTAGTCCCCTTTCAGTCATGCTGGAGGTCTTGGTGTGGTGAGCCCATTCCACTTGCTTTTGTCAAAGTTTGTGCTCAGGGAGTCTGGCAGGGGCAGAGGGGATGGAGACCAGTAAACCACTGTGTAACCAGCTGTTTGGTCCTGCCCACAGTCCGGCTCCATGACAGCATCTCCGAGGAGGGACACCACTACCTTATCTTCGATCTGTGAGTCTTTTTCACACACACCCCAATGTGCCATAGGAGAAGGGTGCCCAGGCAGGGGTGACCCTCATGGACTCTGTCTAAATGCTCTTAGGCTGTGCAGAGCTCCCCTTAATGTAGAAGGCTGCTACCCAAGCTGTGCAAGCTGGTCTTTCTGTTTAAAACACCAGACACAGTCAACCAGCATCATCAGTTTATTTTTGCTTCTCTATTTGTGGCCAGTGATGCTGCCTTGCCGTTCATGGTGGCGATATCAAGTTTCATTTTGAAATCTGGTTTGTCAAAGCAGGAACAAAATGACAGGCTTCAGGGGATCTTGGGTGGGCAGTGGCAACCAGTGAGGATGCTGGCCTGGTCTGTAAAACACAGTGATATGGAAAAAAGGGGGGCACATGTTGGGGACAGGAGCACATGAGAAATCTCCATAAGTTCTACTCACTTAAAAAATAAAAGTGACAAAAATAAACAGAAAAGTGAAAAATAAGCTAAGCAAAACCAAATGGCCCATGGACTTCCAGGAGCCTCATGGACCCAATGGCTGCTTCTGAGATACTGTCCCCACCAGTCTGGACCCAGTGAGAGGAGGGAAAGGCACCAGAGAAAGCAAGCTAAGTCAGAAGACAGGAATTGGGTGGCAGAGAGTCTAAGGCCCCTGGCCCTACCCTTCTCAAACGATTTCCAGAAGGTTCATCCAGTGGAAGGGTGACTTCATGCCTGTCTCCCCAGGGTCACTGGTGGGGAGCTGTTTGAGGACATCGTGGCCAGGGAGTATTACAGTGAGGCTGATGCCAGGTGAGTATCAGGTGCAGGCCAGCAGAGGCGCCTGGAGGGAGGGTACCTGCAGTCAGCTTCCCAAGGGGCCTGACCCCTCCCCTTTCTCTCCAGTCACTGTATCCAGCAGATCCTGGAGGCCGTGCTGCACTGTCACCAGATGGGAGTGGTGCACCGAG